CGATTTAGGTTTCCAGACCACAATAGTTTAAGTGGTTGCCAAGCACCTTTTATTTCTAATCTATCGGCTAACTCTTGTTCAATTATTGACACTGCACTACCTGTGTCTAAAAGAAATGCTGCATTTGTGTCAGTGCCTACGAATTTAACTACAATGATGCCTAATATACATGGAGAACATACTTCGTCGAATTTTGAATTGTCAGAATTTTGACTGTAAGCATTACAAGCTTTAATGTGGTTGTTTTTATAAGTAGCATGTGAATTTTGATCAACTGATATTCTTTCAGGCGGATTATTGATATAAAAGTTACTTTTCGGGATATCAATTACTAAAGGAGGTGCCGAAGGAGTTTGTTCACGTCTTTCAGGTAAATCTTCCTTAGTCTTACAATTGTAATTGCGTTTAAATGTTCGTTGAGGTATTCTTGAGTCAGGTCTTTTATAATTATTATTATTATTCTGTGGGCTATTATGTTCAGGTCTTCCTTTACGTTTATAGCAAAAGAGAATATGGTGTTTGAAGTTGCATCCTTCAATCTTACATGGATTCTTGTAAGAACAACCTTTATGCTTTGGAACTCCGCAAAACGTACATATATTTCGCTTTTTAGCTAACTCAGACACTTCTTTACCCGATAGTGACCATAATTTAGAACATGAGAATGCCGAATGGCTATTAGAATCATGATACCAGCATTGCGTATTACCAGAACGAGCAGATTCAATGTTATTGACTGAATTAGAAGAAGAATGCTGATAACTACGTCTGTATGGGATTTGTGGTTTGTTAAAGCTCTTAAAATTGTTTGATTCCCTCCATGGATCTACTTCTTCTGCTGCCATTTTTGAATTAAGAAAAGATATCTGTTCCGATAAATATTTGGAAAGATGTTTTAGTGAAATCTCTTTATCTTTATCGTCACGTTTGGCTTTTAACTTATGCCATCCATTCATCATATTACTGGGCATTATATTAGCTATATGAGAAATAACTCTATCGTCTATCATATGCTTCTTTTTACCATACTTCTTTACTACTTGATGATAATTCACTATCTTATTAATAAAGTCTATAAGCTTGCTACTTTCTGTATCAAACTTAAATTTCTTCATGCTAATAATATCTTTGGTTTCATTTTTTAAAAGATTCATAGATCTAGACACACGTTTATTAATAATCTTTAATGTTTCCCAAGCAGTTAAAGGATTGAATAGATTCATTCCACCAATATCAATTAATTCTTTTGCCTTAATAGAACTTTGGATTCTTAGAACGTTCTCAGAGCGTGAAAATAACTTTCTGGATTTCTTAAACATGTCAAAGAAAACTGTCCATTTACTGTCTACTGTGTCAACTACAGGAAGTCTTTCGTACTTTGATTTTAAGCTTTCTTTATGACTTAATTTAAAAAGACCTAATAACAATTCAGTTTTAGACAACCCATCATCATCATCATCCTCGTCATCGTCACTTGAATTACTCGACTCTGAAGAAGAAGAGCTTGTTGAATCATCGCGCTTTCTATTAGATTTCTTTTTCCTACGTTTTGAATAATCATCGCTACTGGATGATGATGAGGAAGAATCAGAAAAATCAGAAAAAGAGGAAGATGAAGAGGAAGAGATATATTTATTATGGGATGATTTTCTTTTTGATTTACTTTTCTTTAATCTTTTATCTCGATCACTTTTTTGTGTCGATTTCTTATTTTTATTTTTGGATTTGGTTTGGGAGTAAGACATGTCAGTATTCTGATCACGCTTCATATCGATACGTTGTTTCTTTTTTAAATTTTCTATACGAATCGCGTCTGCTAAGCAATTTTGGCAGTAAAACTTTCCATTCTTAACTGCTGCCTGTTCCATGTCCGGAATACATTCATAATGATAAGTAGTTCTACATTGACTGCAATGAATACCTTTGGTCTCATCAGTAAATCCAGTATCACAAACATCGCAATTAAAATTTTTAAACAGTTCTTTTGCGTTTACATTTTTAGCATGAGGATTAACAAATTCCTCTGTATTTGATTTTTCATCAACTAATAATATGCTTACATTATCGTCTTTATTAGCTTTATTTGAGTCATTTGAATTTTCATTGACATTAGAATTAATGGAAGTGTTTGGATCTACTGAATTTATTTGGATGTTCTCAAATGATTTAGTTAAAGTATCCATTAGCTCATCAACAGGTTTAGCAGGTGTGGAAGTAGATTTGGAAGTAGTAACAGATTTTCGTAAAGGAAAATGAATCTCTTCTAAATGATTAATACAATACCATTGTCTTGTTTTACTTAAATGATGTTCATTGAAGCAATTCATATGTGTCCAAACTGAACAAGGACCTACTGTACATTTTAATCTAGTCTCATTTTGTGAATCATAAGGCTTACCACAATCAAAACAGTTTCTCATGCTTTAAATGCTTAATATTTAATATTTTATATTTAATTTTCAATAATTCAGGTTAAATTTTATATTTTTGTTCAAATTATTCAATTTTCTTTATATCCGACAACAAATCATATATCTTTACTGTTTAATGCTCAATGGAGCTATTATGAACACTAATTTATATATATATAAATATCGTATATGTCCTTACTGGATCATAAACGAAAACACATGGTGCTATATTTCACATTTCTCAAATTTACACTCATTAAAAGTGTAATAATTAATCGTGTCGCACATTTATTCTTAAAATAGTTTTGGACATACCATTTCGTGATGTAATCCTTTAGATCCAACAGCAAATATTAAAACAACTTGAATTAATCTTGAAATTCTCTTCAATTTTATTTTGGAGTCAAAATCTTTCTTCTTTTCTCCTTCTTTCTTAGCGAACCTTTGCAGGATTATTACACCTAATTTATTTTATTTAAAAAGTTACAAAATGTTTAATTCAATTATTATTTTTCTTACTTTTAGTCCTCTTTTGTGCTACACGTTCTTCTTTTTTTTTGATTAAATTCTTTTTTAGGGGTAGGAAAAAACTCCCAGTAAATTTCGAAAATTGATATGAATTTAAAAAGAACGTTTAATATTTCAAAATTAAGAAAAATGATGAAACTAATGAATTTGTATATGTTAAATAAAGAAAAATATGTATTTTTCTTTACACAAGACAAGCATTAATTATCTTGAATTCATCATCATCATCATGTCTTTTTTGTTTAAATGGAATAATAAAAACAATTGCAAACACAAGAGTAAGTATGAATGCTAAAATTGGCCCTTTTATCATCTTCGCAGTGAAAGCTCTTCTTTTGGACCAAAAAAGTAAAATTAATTAAATTAACAAATCGACAGTATTTATTTAAAAGCAATTTAATAAAGTCATGAATATGTGCCTATTAAGTCTGATACAACATGACAAATAAAGCATTTGAAAGTGGAAATGCTCAATTATAATATTTACTGCAAAACCATTATCGGTAAGTGAAATAAGTGGTTGCTTCTTTGGGATGATGGTGAATTGCAAATTGAGTGGAATAGGCATCTTTTAATGTCTTATTATCTATGAATTTTCATGTTTGTTAAGAATTTTAAAATCCCACAAGTGAACTAAACTACAAAGTTATTAAAAATGATTGATTGACATCAACTTATTTCATCACCTTAAAAAACTCTCCATGCAAAATTGCGCTTGAGAGATGCTATTATCCGATTTATGATCTTGACTCCTTTATATTACACATTATGTTTGCAATGATAAATCATAAAAATTTAAATTAATCGCAAAAAATCAAATTATCAACCTTTTATTGTATTGTCCGTTCTCACATGTAGTGACAAACAGAAGCATGTGATGTATGATGATAAAAATAGAATTGGAAACACAAAACAAAATAAACAAATAACGTATGAATGATTCCTCGGGCGAGCATAACATACAGTAAATCAGCTGACAAAAAAAGAGATTTAATAAATACGTAAATTGAATCTCAAGATTAAATTGACTACATGTTGTACATTATCAATTGGGTCACACAAACTCGCATGTTGACATTAAACTGGATTTTAAAGCTTTTGATGTTGTTGCTTTCATCGAAAAAGAAGTAGGAAGTGATAATTGCATCACAGAATTATCATTATTATGATTAATAATTGCAATCACTTTTAAATTAATTGAACATCACTGAAGATATATCAATTAAAGTAAGTTGGACGAACTACTTGCTTGCATTGATTGATGCATAATTTACATAAAGTTTAAGACGTAGTTGGTGCTTACCACAACAATTTTTCAATTAAACATAAAAGAGAAAGGCTATCGTCAATGCAAATTAGTTGCAACAATATATTGTGATGAAAAATGTCATTGGAAGTCTGTTTTAAGTGAGTTTGGAAAATTAAGAAGACAAAAGTTAAGATTTACAAAAACATTGAATTATTATATTTGGAAATTATTGTCGGCAATTTCTGAATATGGTAATTAAGACATGCTGGTTATTACTTTTGAAAGCTTGTTAAGAATTATATTTCGAACAATAATTATAAAATGGATTGCTCTATTGACTTCAAAACCGGGATATATCTATTTAACATCAAGAATTTACAAGTATGAATATTTAAGAAATAAATCTAATTTTTTGACAAATAAATTGAACCTTGAAAATAATTTTCATTCATAAACTTGAAAATTGACTTAGACGCAAAAAAAAAGACTGATAAAGCAAGTAAATAAAATATGTTAATAATATGTCACAAATAATAGACTTTAGTGTACGTAAATCACCGACTAAGTACCTTTAATCAAGTGTCAATTTTATTATAGGATATGGCATTGTAAAATAAAAAAATTATTTAATTTAATCGTTGCACAATCAAAGCTTCCATGCATGTACAACGTAGCAAAGAAAAGGTACCCGTAACTACATATGAATGAAAACAAAGTGAGAATAGACTTGAAAGAAAATGATGAGAATAATCTCAGAAAATTGCATCGCATGGAACGAACTACTTTATTTCATTCTTCTTCTCTATCTATTGCGAGCATCGATGTGAGTTTATTTTCTGTGTATGAATAAATCGCAATGAAAAGAGAAAATCAGAATAAGTTTAGCGAGCGTGCTGTTTGGACGTTTATTTTTTCTGTTGTTAAAGTTGATTTAAAGCAGTTCTCGTACCCAAATTGAACACATATTAGAGAAAAGATTTGACGCGCAATTCAGTTTAATTTGTCATAAATTCTCTCAAAATCTTGATCATCTTTATGATCCGTGTCTATTAAAAGAATCATCAACAGTCACAAAAGCCAAAACAATCAGGAAAGGAATCATGTCATTCATAAAATCGATGCTAAAGATCAGTTCAAAACACAAAAGTAAGTCAGTAGATTGAAAAATTCGCATTTGTGAGCCATTAGTCAAAGAATGTATTTATTTTTGTGGCTATGACTGAATAATATATGAAAGAAGAAATAAATTTATTTCCGAAGGTCACATGAGTTAGTCGCAGAAAATTGAGCATTATGAATTTCATATACGTCATTATTGTGCTAATTGCTTGTGTAGTATACAGTTTTGTTAACAATTGATTATTTTGACATCGTCTTGGAACTTGCAAATTTTTCTTCAAATTTTCTGTTTCCATTATCTGGCATTTAGCAAGTCACACATCGATAATTATGAGAATGCAAAAAAATATCATGACTTCACTAGCTGGATTTAATAATTTTAATATTTTATCCTGTAAAAACATCCATAATCAATGGAATGTAGAAAGCTCAATCACGCAAAAATATCTAGAACTGCGTGGAGTAAATTCTTACTCTATTAAATAACCACATCGATTGTTACATTTTGAATTTAATTAAAATTTCATGGAAATGAAACTGTTGATCATGCAATCTTATATAAAAGTGGCGTTATGATTTTCAATGATCATTGACTGATTACTTATAATTATTTTAGTATTAAATTTGCATGTAAGCTTTTTTAATCGTGGGAATAAATTATTAAATATGTCAATTTATGTTATAATAAATGAAGGATTATAGCTATTAATTAGGGCTGGTTAAGTGAAATGACTTGTCATAATTCAGGAACGAAATTATAAACTTTGCAGCTACTGTCTATTTTTATAACCAGCATATATTTACTTTAGATTTCCTTAATGACGTGTTATCATATTACGACTTTACCCAACAAGCAATTAACTTTTATGAATGATAATCAGGCATGATTGAAATAATTTATTCTTATCACATTTCAGAATTAAATGAGGAACTTGCACTTGCTAGCAGTATAAAAGATTTTACTGAGAGTCCACTAGATTTAAATGATGAGGAATTAACTGACGATGCTGTAGTTTATACATTGAAATTCATTGGAAGTACGCCACTTTTGCAGGCTAAACCGGAAGAGACAAAGAAAACAAGGTTTAGCAAAAAGCCTAATTTAGCAACAACAAGTGCCATTAAGAAGGTCATTGCAGCCTCAAAAAGTCAAAAGAAATTAACCGATGTTACAATTTCAATCTCACCAAAAGGAATCAATGTTTTTGATACAGTAACAGAAGAACCAGTCCTAGAAATTCCAATTTATAAAATTTCATACTGTTCCGTTGATTCCGCACATGACACAATATTCTCCTTTGTCAGCACAACAGCAGATAAAGAAGAGAATTTTGAAATCAATCAGTTTGGGTCACCAGACTCTCCCATTGGTCAGCTAGAGTCTTCTTCTTCTTTAGATGATGACAATGACCTTATTCTACACGCATTTCAATGCAACAAAAGAAAACTAGCACATACCGTAACATTAAGCGTTGCAAGGTAAAACTTTATAATTATTTAATTGACAGAATATTGAAGCACTATCAAATTACTTATTATGGCTGTAAAACTTATAAACTGGCATCGAAAATCAGTCGCATCTTTCAGCTTATAGCTTATGTATACGATTTTTAAACCTTGAGCTCTGTGCCACAGATTTTAAAGTCCCTCAACAAAATCTTTTTAAAATAATGAACGTCATAAGTGAAAGATGATTCGGAATATTCCAGATTTTTCTCATAAAGGAAAAGTGAAAATTACTCCCGTTACATTTCATGTGAATTAAATTAATTAACACAATTATGAATTCTACCTATTTTCTTTGTAGATCTTTTGAGCGTGCATTTCAAATCTATCAAAGTGAACAATTTTTGAAAGATATTCGCGAGAAGAAGACAAACAAGGAAAACATCGTGTCCAAGAATACAGAAAATATTAAAAATTTGATGTCTTCTGGTGACAAAAATGATGAAAAATGTTTGATTGATTTGGATGATGGACCACAATTAAATTTTTTGTACTCAAAGGAGAGGAACAGAGAATTCTTACAGAACACATGGGTTTCTTTCGAATAGAGATTTTATGAGGCTTTAATTTATCCTTTATGTCAATCATTATTTTACGTCCTATTTCTCTTTTAACATTTGTAATCTATTCATAGAATTTTTCCAATAAAAAAGACTTTACACGTTAAACTAAGAAGATTTATTTTTAATTTCAGACTTAAACTTAATCTTAGGATTTATTTTGACCTTGGCTTAAATTAATTCTCAAGATCAATCCAAGATCATGATGTATAATTGAGGAATAGAATCACTTAATTTCAATCAAACAGGTATATAATTGGTTTAACAGATTAATATCAAGACTGAGTCGCGTTTTACCAACAAAAAGTGCCCTTAAAATAACTTAAAAATAACTGTCAGTTAAAATTTAAATTCAAAAATAAAAACAACCTAAAAACAGCTGAAAATAAATAATAAAATTGAAGCAAAATTAAGTTTATAAAAAAAACTAGGACCTTTACTATTAAGCTATCATAAATAATACAATTATAAAGTATCATGTCATCGAATGACGTAGCAGTTTGTCATGTAAGTATTGAGATCAACGAAATTAATGAGTTACAAAATTTGTGCAATAATAAATGCCGCTAATTTCAGATTTATGATAAATTAAGCTCTAAAACTGGATTTATTGGAAAGTTTGTGACAAATGAAGAGATTTCTCTTCATGGATTCCAGCCAGTGTTTTATTCAACAAAAGATGCTCCCACTAAATATGCCAATACAGACGAAATTAATGTAATTCATGTTTCGGAAAACTTTATTCTGGATGATGAGATTTTGAGAAGTTTGGTTGCTGAATCCTGTAATATATTTTACAATCTACAATCAATTAAGACCAAATCAAATGATGTATTCCTACAAACATCAAGAGTCTATCGTTCTGCAATAAGAGCAACTTTAAACAAATTACAGGAAGCAATTATTGATGATTGTGGCGAAAATGACATTAAAAAGTATGAAAGCTTCATTACAATATTCTATTCAATCGAATGCTTATGGCATTTATGTGAATTCCTGTTAATCGATCGATCAACGATGTCTGTCGTACCAAATTTACTTGAATGGGTAAGGCTTTATATACCTTAACTATCTTTACATGTACTAATTTAAGTTCATTTTATAGACCAAGTTCCATTTTCCATCACCAAGCCAGTCTGCTGCAGAAATGCTCATTAACAAGGACCGTGATCTAGAATTTCGCGAAAGTTATTGGGAGACTGTCAGAGGACTTATTTTACAAGGGCAGATAGATATCGTTCGAGCTTTATTGAGATTTCATTCATCATCTGAAACAATGACCTTCCAACTTGCTGAAAAGGAATTGCAGACAATGCCAGTATTTAATTCACATGGAGGACTTTCGATTCAAAAGTTTCGTTCTCAATGGTCGTTTTGGTCAAGTGCGCTGGAAACAAAATTAGATTCGGGTCTTTTTTCAACAGAAATTGAATTGGAAAATATCATGAAACTTATAGTTGGAGATAAGCAGGCATGGATGCAAGTATGTCAGGATTCAAAGTGCTGGTATGAATATTTCGCTGGATTTCTGTTTTTTACTCAACCAGCTGTTCGATATTTTGAGTTGGGAACATTTGCTGATAGTTGGCTAGGTCGATGGTCAAGTACGAAAGGAATGAGAGGATACACTGAATTAAAATCACTAGATTTAATGGTTTTAGCAACACTTAAAAACGACATGGCAGAACTGATTAGTTCAATTCAAGATATGGGAGATAACAAATGGTTTGTGGTACACATAGTCGATCTTCTTGTTCATTGTGATCAATTAAGAATCAGTGACGAATCAAATGGACCATCAGTAGTTGCTTTGCGTGAATGTCTTATTTTTGATTATGGAACAATGTTAATGTCTCATGGTAATCTATGGGAAATTGGAATGGATTACTTAAAATTTTCGTCGTCTGAAGGACTTGGTGCACGAGAAGTATTGCTGCAAAGAGTTCCAATAAAGAATGACATTCAGGCAATGAAGATTATAGAAATAGCCCGAATTAATGGAATCACGTCAGTTGAACAGGAAGTTTGTCGAGTAATGGTTAAAAGATCACTTTTCCTTGAGAACTATGGAAATGCACTTGAATGGGCTATACGCTCACGTGACAATATCTATGTCACGAAAGTTGCTAATATTTTTCTCAATCATTATTGCAACACTGGAAAAATGATGCACAAAGATCTTCTATCAAATATTGGAGCAAAGATGTTTATTGCTCCAAGGCTTCTGTTTTTAATTAAATACTTTGATTTTCATCAATTTTACAGAGCTAGAGCTTTTTCGCAAGCTGCAGAACTGCTTGTAAATTTACTCGACTCAAAAATTATTCCTGAATTCTTTTGGCCATCATTATTAGCTGATACAATTCCCCTACTTGAGCATAACGAGCCAATTATACCAACAAAAGAAACATACATCATAATGCATCATCTAGAAAGTGATCTAATTCCGTATTTAGCGAAGACAAAGAAAGAACGTGAAAATAAAAAGGAACAAGAAGGTGAATTGAATCTTATGAATGCTTGTTCCGATGATCTTGTTCAACTTTTGAGATTGGCATGTGCGCGAAATCTTTCAAGAGCTATGATTATTGAAAATACATTGGTTCGTTAATAATCTTAAAGTATTTCCTTTTCTTTCCTTAAAATGGTCAATAAATGTTTTCTTATGTCTAAATCACACAAAGCTTCTTTCTTTTCTTAAAAATTATCTCAGGTGCATATGTCAAGAAAATTATTTCAAGAGTGAAAAAAACGATTTATATTTTATAAAGATGAAGACTCAAAACCGGATGTGTGCTGTCGGTGATGGATTCCCAATTCGCAAAAGAGAACTTCGAAATCTCAATAGAATGAAAGTTAAGGATGAGATGAAATTGGATTTGCATTTGATATCGAGCGATTCAAGCAGTAATCGATCAAGATTTAAGTTGTATCCAATTGAGGAAGTAACCGAAGAAAGCAGTAATTCACAAACAAGTACAAGACGATTAAGAACAGAACGAGATGCTGAAATTCAACAAATTATTGAAGATAATAAGAGGCTTGGCATGAATCGACCAAGAAGCTCAAACAGAAGAAATATAACAGCTAATGATTTACAGGCTTGGAAGTCTGACACCTTCAATCCCTCAAAGGAATCAGTCATGGCATCTGTTTTCGCAGAAAATCAAGAAGAGGAAAGGAATAGTGAGAAGATATCAGCAGATTTTGATGCTGACAAAAAGATATCGGAACTGAATGCTCATGTAAATGATATAGTGTCATACAAACATAGCCAAATTCAACAAATTGTTGCCACTTCCTCTTCCCAGTATCACAAGTTCATGTTAAGGAAGAACAAATCAAGTTCTCTCCAACCAATCTTAATCAATCAAGCAACATCAACAACAAAAATGATCCGTACCAAAAAGACAACCTCGTGCTTTGGCAAACTTTTTTGTCCATTTTGGAAATCCCGGCGCTAAAGACATCATATATTTTTAATATTCCTTTATTAATCATAGATTATCATGCTTAATGCAGTGCACAGTAAATTTATATTTGTGATCTAGTTATTTACAGCTTTTGTTTGTGCATTTAAAATAATTTTTTTTGGAACCTTCACTGTCTATAATTAAAGTCTAAAGCTAGAAAATTATGAAAATTATTTTTACAGGTATGCTTAAAATTATATGAATTAGCTTATCCTTAATAATTAAAATATATTATGTCTAATATGAAATGTATCAGAATCCACATGACGACGAATCCATTAACTAGTTAAAACCTCCTTCCTTTAATACCACGAATAGAATGGCTGGGACATCCCGAAGCTCTTTCCAGAATGTGGATGTGCAAAACCTGAGATATTTTGATGTGGCAATAAAGATGACGATAAATTATGATGAGCACCATATAAAGAAGCTGAGTGATGATTATAGGAACTGGAATGTATTGGTGAATTGGATAATGGAAGCTGATGATGTCCAGTTGAAGAACACCATGGACTGTAATTATTATTATTATTTGCAATTATTGTTGCATTCTCTGTTGGGGATTCGTTAATTCCATTTGTGCCTTCATTACTGTTGCTATTTCCAGATGTTGGTCCCATCATGGTTGTCACTAAACTATTTGGTGTATCAGGCAACTGGATGTTGTTATTATTATTATTGGGTGTAAATTGGTCAACAGAATTTGGACTTTCATTTCCATTCAAGGTTGATCCACTTTGATTGACATTTTGTGGCGATGAATAGCCAGTACCTGAATTTTGACTTATTGTAGCTGCTGGAGACGAATGATAATGATGATAATAGGCGCTTGAATTTTGAAGAGCATTTGGGGATGTAGTATTATTAGATTGCTCTGGAGGTGACTGGCGAGCTTGATTTGCCATTTGATGAACATGCGATGAGTAAAAGTCGTGCACTGTGAATAAGAAATTTTATTAAAGACTTTAATTATTATTGACTGTTTAAACATACTTTGAGAAGATGCTGTACTAAATTGTGATGCTTCAGCCAATGGTTGTAAAATGGAATATCCAGGAACTGATGATGATGTAGAATAAGCTAATGGATTAGATCCCATAGATGAGTAGCTTGACGATGACGGAATAACAACTTGTTTACGTAGACGAGCACGACGATTGCTAAACCATACTTGAATTCGAGCTTCCGTTAATTTCGTCCGTTGTGCAAGTTCCTCACGTGTGTAAATGTCAGGGTATTGTGTTCGTTCAAAAGCTCGTTCAAGTTCATCAAGCTGCATTGCTGTAAATGTCGTTCTCGATCGTCTCTGCTTACGCTTCAATGGAATTCCCGGTTCACTATCACAGTCCGATAAATCACCATCTGATTGCTTCATAGCATGATTTTCGCCTATTGAAATTAAAAATGAACGAAAACGGAAATTAATAATTTTCCATTGATTCTCTTTTGAGTAACCGAAAAAAAAATTTATGAATGAAATGAATGGAGTAGTTGGGTATGTACGGGAGAGTATGAGCATTATGAAAGTCAGATAAAATTGATGTATTTCATGATTAATTACATTTTATAACGTCGGTAATTGTTTTATTGGCTTACAATAGGAACGATTGGAGAATCATTACTTATGGGATAAATTTAGCAGTTCCGAATCAATATGGTATATGAAAAGCTTTTGCTTAATCATTACCATCAGTGATTGACAAATCCCATCAATCATTTTCTTGGTAATTTAGGTTCTAAATAAATTAGATTTCCTTCTTGAAATGATTCTTTAATAATTTTTTAACAAAGAAAAGCACCGCGGCAACAATAGCTTTATAGCTACTTGATTTCACTTCCCCTATGTATTATGGATATACTATAAGTCTATACACACTTGTATTGTACATTTTGATGATGTTTTTATTGTGTGCTACTTTTTCAAATGAAACTGTAATTATTTCTTCTTGTGCCTTTATTTGAGGCATAGAGGACTTTCAATTCATCATATTTTTTTTTCTCTCTTTCCTTTCATTTCAGTCTTTCTTCTTCTTGCAAGCCTTATTCTAATTGCCTCGACTTGACTGACTGATAAAGAATAATAAAGTTTCTGACTAATATAGTAAGCTCGCTACCGCAACAATCCAATGATGTGTTGTATGTTCATAAAAGAGTCATTAATAATAATCAACAAAAAAAAAGAAAGAAATGAGATTTCACAAATCATTCTTGGCACCTTTATACGTTTTTCATTTTATTTATTGTAATATTCTCTCATTCCTTTCGGGGTCTTTTATTATTCTTATTCTTATTGCTATTATTGCTGGCTGTTTGTATGTTTGTCGTTTTTCATGTAAAATAAAATAAAAAATGAAAAGAGAGAAGTCGGCAGCCGCAGCAAGTGGAAACATGAGAACAAATTGATTGAAGAAAGACCTTGATGGAAGGTAGTTCGATTAGGTGCTAAAAACTAATTTACTCGCTTCTTTACAAGATATATTTTGTCTGTTTTATATGAGGATCAAAAGGGATCACCCGAAATTGGGAACTCAAATGGAAATAATTTAATTGGATTTTTTTTTTGTGAATGATCATGCTGACTATTACAGTTCAGTGACGAGAGGGAGCATTTAGTAAGATAAATTATGTCATGAATCATGCAAAATGTGTAAAAACAAAGCATACCGTTTTGTGAGGATCTCTTTTCATCATCGCGGCCTCTCAAGAGGCGTGATATTGCCGAAACAGAAGGTGCTGTCGATCTATCGCAAATTCCTTCTTTTATTAGACGATCTCTTATCTCCCAACTGAATATGCCTGTTAATTGAAATATGTTTCATGAATTATTAGATTTGGGATGTTTTTTTTTGAGTGTGCCTACATTTTTAAGCTAGTCAGCATCATTTTAAAATTTTTTAAGGAAAACTTGTCTTCAATCAATTTTCAAACATTTCATTCCGTACAGAAGTATTTAAAGATTTGATAAATTAGATTTAAATTCGTACCTGGATTTTCTTTCTTAAAGTCCTCGATCCGATTTTCAATTTCTGGTGTTGCGATTCTTGGTTTTGAACCGCCAATTACTCCTGGACGAATAGATCCAGTTTCCTAAATTAGAATTAATAATTATTTTAATGTTTGGAATATCAAGGCTTCCATAAAACTGTATCAGTTCCATTTGTTGGTTCAGTGTGATGAATTACTTAATGCTTACCTGATATCGATTTAAAATTTTAGAAACACATCCGTGGGATACGCGCAATTGTCGAGATATCTGGCATGGTCGAACACCGGCGGCAGCTAATTCAACAATTTTAAGACGGATATGTGAAGGCAATGGTCGACCTGATAGGATTTAAAATTAAACATCATTAATATGCTGAATATATTCATAGATAAGTTAAATAAATTTACCATTTATAAAAACTCCACCGAGTTGGTTAACTCTTCCTTGTCCGGCGGACATATCTCCTGTAAGCAGAAATTAAAACTTATTACTACATCTGCATGCCATAAGAGTACCATTAAATATTTCGATGAAGTTTGAGCAGCATAAATTAGAAGTTCTAGTGAAAATTCAAAATACATCATAAATCTACTGGAAGTAATATTCTCATGTATGCAAAACTGAAGAAAAAGTATGCACAATTGGCTATCAGGTAAGGTTGTAAAATCATAAAGAGAAGATAGTTTTTTTGTGGACTTTCAAGAAAAACTTGTACGAGTTTATGGCTTAATGGCAGTCCAAGAAGTCGACTTCTAATGGTGCAATAAATTCTGTTCATCATTTCCCTATGATTCTCCTGAAAATTTCCAATTTCATGCTCATTCCTAGTTCCTTTTATTGGCTTTTACTCTTGCAGTGCATTCCATTGAATTTTTCATTGACAACATGTCTGTAATTTTTTCTGGTTTCTTCTTCCACTTTTAACTTCTTCATTCTAAAAAATCATTTTTACTTCTCAAAATTCAGGACTACTCGAGAACCTTTTTTTATTTTCTTCTTTGTGGGTCATAAATTATAAACACAAAAGACTAGGCTGTACGTTCTAAAGTGTTAAATTGAGGGTCCATTAGGAAGATAATTTGTCAAATATCACTTTATAATGGATGTGATATGATTTATAAGATTGTTGACCTCACCCTCGGTATTAAAGAGAATTAAATGAGCGAACAGATTGAAGCTCAATTTAGCTTCTGTATTTAAATTTAAATGCAACCTTCACACATTTTCTAATTCTCTTACATTCTTAATTGGATAGACTTAATTGATATCACGTGGAGCATTAAAAGAAGCATTTTTTTGGATTTTTGAAAATCGCAAGTAAATTATATTTGGTTTTAATTGCAATGAACAATTGGGAATGAATTTGAATTACTTTTCATTGAAATAAAGTTGCGTAATTTTGATCTTCTGTCTAATTTAACGTTACTTTGTGGTTGGTGATTTTCAAATTATTTTAATTCCTTCAACAATCTTTACATAAATTAAAAGATATCTTAAAGCACATTCAATATGATTTGATTAAGCTTCACAATTGTATTTTTAAAGAATATTAAAAGACTTATAGATAAGGACGGTATTGTCCTCAAGTTTAGTATGCTTTAAAGTTTATCTGTTAAATGAGAATTGATCTTTAATTCCAAAAATCATACCAACTGAAATATAGCGAAGATTCAGCCAGCTATGGGTCATTCTTCAATTCTACGTTTAAAAGTTCAATTGCAATTCAAATTGTTTCCAAATCATAAATTTTAATAGAATAACGAGAATATCACAAAATGGAATTCAAAAATGTATTGATTCAGAAGACTTAATTTAATCATTTTTCGAAGTTTTTGAAATATCCAGTTGAGATTCTAAGATGGTTTTATTTTACTAAACACATGTAATACTTATCAGTATGATCAATTCAAAATTAATTTCCTGTTCAATATAAATGTGTCACTCCTGCGATCGCTCAAACTTGACATTTTTTGAATGTAAACCTTTTATTCAAATCAAGAACTCTAAAAGTTCTTTATCAAAGCAACTAAAATTGAATCTAAACTAGATTCTATTATAAGACGTTGCTGTTTCAACAGCAGATTCATCTAGCATTATAATCAAGATCCTTACCTTGCAGAGAGTATCCATTAAAACAAGGTCTCATTGCGGCACTTGAAAAATTATTTGTTATCGTCATGTTTAACATTCACACAATCATAAAAATTCAACCACGTTATGGATTTATTATCTTTTATTTTCAACAGTTGGTTCCTTTAAATCACTTTTATATTTTTTTGAATGTTAATCTTCAACACTTGGTATCTAATTCCTTTTTAATCAACAATGTCTTTAACACTTCATATTATTTTTTTAACTTCAAATGTTTATCCAACTTCAAATAGAATGTGCAACTGCGACAGCAAGAAACAACAAACTTTTAAAATAAGTAAATGTTCTAAATACGATAAAAGAAGGCAATTAAATTTACGTCCGAACACGTTGAAGGCACTTTAAAAACTAAATTAAAGTTGAAAAGAGAAATAACCATAAATATTTTTTGTTGCCTGGCATTGTGTAGTTTGTTTGATGAAAGAAAAGTCAATTCTAAATATCTTTAAGCCAAGCACTGCCTTGTTTACGCCCATTTTCAACAACTTCATATTGAAAAGAGTGAGACAAAACATTTGTAGTATTGAAATACTCACATTTCGCTCACACTCATGACTATTGCAGTCATATAAAGTTTTATGGATGACATACGAGAATGCATTGTGGAAACGCTTATGAAAATTTTTATGAGAGAATAAAATAATAAATTAATTGACATCAATTATGGCCACATCATCCTAGATAATTTTATGTTTTGGCTAGCTGCAGTAAGTTGACAATTTATTGGACAACTTTAAATGAAGTTGATGATTGCAATTTTTAATTTTATTGTTTTTAAAGATTTTTTTTTTGAGGCATGATTTCAACTACAAAGCAACACTAGAATAGGCCAGGAAAAAGTTTCACTCTTGTTGTTACTTCTGGATCTTTTAATAGTTTGTTATAAATTTAAATCCATTGCATTTTCTCATGATTCTGTTTCTTGTATAGTTTCCTTGACATTCATCTTTAACGAGTGTTCTCTACAAAACTTTGAAGTATGTACAATAAATTATCAGCATCATCAAATAAGTTTCTGTTATAATGTTTGAATATACTTATAAAAATGGAAGTTGAATGCACAAGTTGGTTTTAACGTGTTTAAAAATTGCCTCCAAACATGACGAATTTATCTAGAAATTTGCATGCATCATGAAATGATCAAAAGAACCTTCAAAATGCAGAATATAGAAATAAAGAAAACAGTATGACAAGTGAAATGAATCTGTAAGGCTTCAAAAGCTGCTTCTATCCAGAAGAAAATCGCGATTTCACACTCCTCACCAAAATCAGACATTCAACAACATTCTGTTCCTTCTTATTCTTTTCAACTTTAATGTCAACAGTATCCTTGAATATTTCACAGAATCCCTCATTGCTTCTATTCTGAGACATGATCAGCCAATAAGGACTTCA